CCACATCCATCTAGCTCGGGTGGCTTCCGCGCGATTGTACACCAAGTAAAGCTGGTTCTGCGTCTATGGGTGCTCAAGAGTCTAGATCTAGCCAGGATGCTTCTCAGAATCAAGCAGAGGATGCGATCGATTACTATGCACTACTAGAGGTCGAAGAGTCTGCTACACAGGATGAAATAAAAGTCTGTATCGATGTCTGGCTGCCCAACTAGGATCCAAATTTCTGGGGGGGATGCGTTCTAATATCTGTAATACTCGGTATAGCGCGCGTTCAGAAAGCTTGCTCTTGTTCATCATCCAGACAAGAATGCACATGACATTGAGGGTGCTACACAGCGATTTGCTAAAATCCAGCAGGCATATGAGGTGCGCCTCGACAAGCGTTGATCTACCGTAATTACCGGATCTATATAATCTGTTGTCCATGCTAGGTTTTGAGCGATGAGCAAGTACGTCGTCACGCCGTCTCCTGCCTTGTAATTAAGATTTCATATGTTTGGCTTTACCTCGTTAGGAGCGGGCATGGTACGATTCCCACCGTGCATCACTTGCCCCCGAGCCCGAAGCGGAAGCTGTTTTCGACGATATCAGGCGAGGTGGTCCGTTCGCCGGTTCACGACCTGGGCGACGCGCTGGCCCCGGTCTGAGCACGAAACATCTGCTCAAGTTCTTCGACGCGTCCATATGGTCAACATTTGATGATAGCGAGTACGTGCGTAAACCAACTGGCTGCATAGTACACTCTTTCATTCAACTAAACTTGTATATAATGTCGCGCACTGGATCTACAGGGCTTTTTCAATATATATCGCAACTTGTTCGCCCGCCTTGCCAACGAAGAGATGGAGCACTCTGAATCTTTGGAGGATTTAGGATACCCTAGCTTTGGTGACGCGACATGGCCGTGGGTGCCCTCCCAAAAAGGGGAGGAGATGACATGCGCACGGACATTCTACAGCATCTGGAGCTCTTTTAGCACGACAAAAGAGTTTTCCTGGAAGGAGCCTTGGAATTTGACAGAAGCACCCGATAGGAGAGTCAGAAGGTCAGCAGGATAATATTACACATCCAGGTTCCTGCTTCTGACTTTTACGCGTATACAGACTAATGGAAAAAGATAACAAGAAGGCCCGTGATGACGCAAAACGTGAATACAACGAGACGGTCCGGGTGCGTTACTCTCTTCGCTCTTACAACTTGCTGCGGTCTTGACCACTGCGCTAGTCAATCGTGCTATTCATTCGGAAACGCGACCCGCGATATAAAGCGCACCTAGCCCGCGAGTCAGCCCCGCCCACCAAAGGGGCCGAAAAGAGTGCCATATCCGCCGCTGCGGCCGCTGCTAACCAGCGCCGAGCGGAAGCGGGGGAGGCATATGTCGAGCAAGATTGGCAGCGCCTCAAGCAGCAAGAAGCAGCTGCTGACGAGTATTGGGATGGAGACCAAGAGGAATGGGAGTGTGTGGCGTGCGCAAAGGTCTTCAGGTCAGAGAAGGCTTGGGATAGCCACGAGCGGAGTAAGAAGCATTTGAAGGAGGTAGAGAGGTGCGCTACTATATGTTCAGGAACGCGAGGGTAGCGTTTTAACCGATATCATTCTCTAGGTTGAAACGAGAAATGGTACTAGAAGACGAAGAGCTCGAGCTGGGCGAAGAGGTATCAGATACAGAGGATGTGAGCGAACCGGAGAGCGAGCACAGTACTGAGCCGGAGATACCACCGACCGCAGCGAGCGCAGCCGAACTCCAGCAGACAGAAGGTGACTTGGCTGAAGGGGTGGAGAACGTGAAGCTAGAGGAAGATGTAGAAGAAAATTACGAGTCGGAAAAAAGCAAGAAGAAGGCGCAGAAGAAAGGGAAGGCCAAGAAGGGAAAGGGCGATTCGACGGGATACGAGGCACAGGACAACGGAGGGGCAAAAATCGGCCAACCTGCGACAAGAGCTAAGAAGTCAGCCCCGAAGGGTAAAGCCTCAAAGCCTCTTCCGCGAGAGCCGAAGCCAAAAGATGACGCTGCGGACTCTGTTGGCGGTGTATCTGCGAGCGCTTCAGGCGCGGCGATGCCTGCACAAAACGCCGATCCACCAAGTCGCGCCGATTCCTCACAGTTGGACGACGAGCCAGAAGGTCCGGCTTCCACTTCCGCCGAGCCAATGACCAAGCGCGACAAACGACGGGCACGAGAAGCGGCCAAGAAAGCACGCGAAAACGACAACAGTGGACAAAGCAAACAGGTAATGTACAAGTCACAGTAACCAATGCAGGGAAAAGAAAAGAAAAAGAGTCCTGATCTTACATTTTATTCTCCGTGTGCGGCGCACGCCACCCCATTCGGTTCCACAGGAGGTATGCAACGTGTGTAAAAGCACGTTTACCTCTCGAACGCAGCTGTTTGCGCATGTACGGGAGACGGGACACGCGCGAGCAGAGCCGGAAAGTGGGCAAGGGAGAAGGAAAAAGCGGTGATAGCGGGGAATAGAGCCGATGGGAAAGCAAAATGATAGCGGAATAGCTGATGTACACCCGAGACACAATAGGAAAATAAGCATGATGTAGATTTGAGTGATGCGAAGGGCGAGGGAAGAGAGATCTTTGAAGTGGGATGAGGTGGGGACCCATGCAGGTGTCATTCCAGAGGCGGAGAGTACAGCGGAGCGGATGGGCTACGCGTATTCCAGTACCCAGAGCTCCCCGCTAAATGTCACCGCAACAATAACACCGGTAGTCTCGTCAATAGCGAGATTACTCAGCGAGCCTATGGGGAGATTACGAGGCAGTTCAAGGCGGCGCATGAGTGCCGTACGTTGGCCCGCGCGAGCTTCGTGGTAACTCGGATACGTCACAACATACACCGGGAATTGCACATCGTTGTCGTGGTCCTGCACCGCAAACACCATGTGCTTTCCTGATATATCCAGTCCCCACACATTTTGGCGCCCCGAGGCCACTCGCGAGCGGCGCGACAAAAGGGGTTCGAGCGTATGGGGGAACGGTATCGGAGATCGGGAGAGCTCGAAGAGCATGGCCTTGATACGGCTCCCGGTGTCGGACGCCATGGAAAACATTGTGGAAGGACGGTCCAGGGGACTGCCCCACAGAGGCTGGAGCTCGTAGTGCGGCTCGGACCACTCTACGACCACGCGCATTTGTGGTGGTGGAAGTCGTGGTATTAATGAGGATTTTGGTGGGGTGATGAGATCTTCCTTGAGGTACCAACGGATTTCCTTCCGGCCTTCGTTTTGGCTATACAAGACGAGATGAAGTGGGGTCACAACAGCAGACACCGATTCCGCAAGTGGCTGGGTAAGACGAGTAAGTCCAGTGCTCTATGAAAAGATCCAATTGAATTGTACGCACGATGTCGCCACTTCCAGGACCTTCCCACACGACCAGATCTCCCGTAGCAGAACTAAGGAGATGGAGCTCATATTTTTCCTCGAAGCCGACTGCACCCGTGATTTGTTCATCAATGAAGAATGAATCGACATATTGAGATGTGATCACTGGTGCACATCTCAAGCTGAAGCCGGGAGACGTGTTGTTAGGCAGACGGAGGTCGATGATGCAGAGTTTGTGCCGGCGGGGGCTGAATAGGAGGCAGGAATAATTTGAGTATTACATCGAATTTGCCAAAGGATGACAAGGTGGTTCCATACTGGAGGACGGGTATATCTTCGGTAAGTAACATCGCAATGGTAACGGATTTTCCGTCAGCCGAAGGGAGGAGACGCCATTCAAAAAGCAAGCGCGATGGCGAGCCTTCGGGGCATTGGTAGCGAGCAACACAACGGCCGGTGGAGAGGTCCCAGCAGGCAAGGAGACCTGCGCGGGTGAGGAGAAGTGCGTAATGACCACCAGGGAGTACGCTCACATGAAGGATGGTGCGGTCGAACCAAAAACGCTCTTCCTCAACTCGTTCCCCGTAGGAATCAGAGGGGAGGTCAATAACGCGCGCCGGACGCGCGAGGGGAGCAGGGGAAGATGAGTTTGGTCGAGACGATGTTAGGGAGGGGAAAGGTTGCGATGGTGATGGGACCCAGCTCCGTTCAACAAGATGAGCGCGAAGGACAGCATGTTCCAGGGTGGGTGTGGGGATATCGGTCAGAGGTATATTGGTCGGGACTGGGAGAGGTCTGCGTAAGAGTATGTCACGAGCTAGCGCCAACCAGAGAATCTTGGCGAATGTAAATTCAGAAAGGGCCTTGCAAGTCTATTCGGTGATAAGATTAATGATGAGATTGAGCGCGATTTTCAAGGGAGAAGGGTAAACTGACTCGTCGAAGGGATAGGACGTCCAAGGCATCGACTCTCTGGGCGATCTCGACAAACACATCAAGAGGAACACAAGCGAAGTTTTTCTGCTCGTTCTCATCAGGTCCAGGAGCTGGCTCCCTTGGTGAAGGGTTCATGTTCGGCAAGCTCAAGATCGCTCTATGAAGGGGCTGTCCTTGGCTGACCCTTGGGGATAACACGAGCAGGGAGGCCGTCTCAGCGACTGGGCCAAGTTGGAAAACACGAAGAGTCAACGGGATGGGTGGTTGGAACCTCAAGCTGGTGTTGTATATTCCGAACCCAGAGCGTGTCCAGAGCTACCCAGAGATGGTGTTGGCAAATAGCGCCCGACAACTCATGCAGGGTCGCCCGCAGCCAGTGCTTGCCCGTAATTACTGTCGTAATACTGCAGGGTGTGCTCGTTGTGGGAATCCTTGCCATGTTTATCTGAAGTCAAGAACAGAGCTTTCAGCTGCAAGAGTGGAAGCTCACTTCGCAAGGCGTTGATTGGCAAGACGGTGGCAGGAAGTTATGCTTCCATTGTCCAATATTTGGCCAAGGGTGGCCATTTGATCAAGCTGAGTCAAGCCGCGCCCACCACTGCTACTACAGCGCCAACGTTGACCAACGCTGCACCAAGAGTCCCAAGACTCTGCTCCACGCAGACTCCAGGCATAGGTAGAGCAATGCATTTTGGCCCGGTATCATTACTTCAGCGCCACATTCTACAAGGTCCAATGGTCTAGAGGTATGATTCACCCTTAGGGAGTGCAAGCTTCTCAATTGGGTGAGGTCCCGCGTTCGATTCGCGGTTGGACCCTTTTGCTCCGGTTATTTACGAACCACCATTTGCCTACAGTCGACCGTCGATCGAGAGTCAGTGCTCAGGTCTTCCCATGTACTATTTTGTGTCGGTACTTTCGAAGTCTGCGACTTTCCTGAGCTCGATTTCTAGTCTTTTCCTATGACGCAGATGCTGTGGCGCAGCGGCTTTAATATTCAACTCTCATCAATATTCGCCCCATGACCTGTCTGCAGCTAGCTGCTGCATGCTCAAATCTGAAATCAAGATTCCATCAAAATCGCTTCGAGGCGTCTCCGCGCCCCTTCCGAGCGTCATGCTTTTCATTCGGGTGATTCGTCGGACGAGCGGCGAGCGCGCGATGCTTTGCGATACCGCCGTGACATCACTCGCACATCAGCGCCTACCGTTCGCACATGATCAGTGCTGTCTGATCTGCGCCTATCAGTGCCAAGTACTGTGTCAGTCGCCACGCAATACTCACCACCACCGAGCTTACACGGCATTATTTCTTTCGCTGCATACAGTACGACTACCCGCGATATGTCTGAGGGTACTCATATTCTCACTCTAAAACGAAAGTGGAGTCTTCAAGAGGTCATTTCATTTCTTGTCCACAGCGCGTTCGTCATGCTCGAAGCAAGATTTAGGACTACATTGAAAGCCATCACGTATAAATACCTGCCCTTTTTGACCCCCTCGGACTCTCATCAGCTTTCCTCATTTTCTCCTGGACCACCTCATCCATCATCGCTACACTTACATAACATCACGATATCAACATGACTTTCAACTCTAACCCCATGGCCTTCATGAAGGGATCCGCCAAGGTCAGTGCTATGCATACATCCCCTTCCCGCCCGCACTATCTGACGATTTCGTACCTCTCCAATAGGAGGTTCTTGGAAACATGGTCGGCTCTGAGCAGATGGCTGCGGAAGGCGCCGCCCAAGGATACGCTGTGTGAGTTCAGCGGATTCATCATCCAATCCTATGCACGATTAGCTTATCTATTCGTCACGTAGGGGCGCCAGCGACCGCGTCGCCGGAAAGAAAGACTCCGTCTTAGGAGCCGTGACGGGGGACAAGACCCAGCGAGCCCCTGGCGAGGCCCAGCAACAGAAGGGCAGTACTCAGGTTGGCTCTTAAGCTTGATCTTGCGGCCGGTACTGTGCAATTTTCTAACGCGTCTGACATCTTGTAGCAAACCTTGAACTCGTGAAGCTGCTGGCCGGATAATAACGCACCGTGACCGTATCACTGCATCACTTTGTACAATTCAACTAATAACTAAGTAGTTATTTAAACAATAAATTCGCTCCGCGTAGTGCTCGGCGTGTCATTACAGCCATGGCATCGTGTTGCATATTTTTTCTGCACATAGGAAAGCTGGGGTCTGCCCAAGCACTCAAGTACTACGTGCTATATGCTCTTCGAGGAACCATCCGACCGAACGGCCAAGAGAATGTTCCAGCGCTTGAACATCTCTACCGGATTCAACGAGGCCCGCACGTCCCGGAGGACATGTACCGGCAAGCTTGAAGTTTGCGGCGCTCAACCTTAGTGCGCTGTTTTTAGCGGTGGTTGGTATATCCTTAGTCAGACCCTTCACCGAGCCTCCTCGGGCCTCCTCGGGCGACATAGAGTCTTCACTTACCACCACCAGCCCGCGTCGCCTAGTATTTCAACTTCAAGGCCCTCGTACGCGATAAGCCTCTAACGCGCCTACAACACGAGCAGGATGGAGTTTGTTGCAGGAACGATCGTCCCGCGACTCCAAACGCTCACCGACCACATACGAAGCCTCACCCGTACCAGGAAAGCAGGATGCACAGGCGAGGTGGACCTTCTGGACCTCGCATACGATTCAATCCAGAAAACCACCTCAGCGATGCTCGCCCAGCTTCGCACGCGTCGAAACCAACTCGCGCTCGTGCATCGCCTCCCAAACGAGCTACTTTCCCTAATCTTCGTACTCGCCGAGCACAGTGCCGGGGCCAGTGCCAGCGCCGTCTCCCCGGGGCCGCGCAAGCGCGGTAAAACGCTGACGGATAATCCGTGCCTGTGCATCTCGGCGGTGTGCCGGACGTGGAGGGAGACCGCGCTGAGCACGCCGCGCCTGTGGACGAATATCGACGTCAGCTCGGTGCTACTCGCCGAAATGTTTGCGGTGCGGTCGGGAAGTGCGCCTTTGGACATCTTGGTCGACCTCACCGAGGACAACCTCATTGGCCCATGGGCGCAGGTCAACACCCATATGGAGCAGGTGGCCTACTGGTCGAAAACGGTCGACCGCTGGGCGACGTTGAAGATAACTGGCACGGAGCCTATTGAACGCGATGACGTTTTGCCATGGATGTACCTCCCTGCGCCGTCTTTGGAGGTGCTGCACATCAGCTGGGGCGGCCGGGATGTCATAGGTTTTCCAATTGCCTCGGTAAATCCGTTTGGTGGCGAGGCGCCTCGCCTCCGTGACGTCAGCTTGACCGCCTTCCATCTTCCTTTACATTTTCCGGTTTTCTCGGGGCTCACAAAATTGCGGCTCTCTCGTATCTGTCTGGAGGAAAAGGAGAAAATGAATCCCGTGCTGCTGCTTCGTGTGTTTGAAGTGTCTGAAGGGCTGGAGGAGATACATATCTCCGACATGCTCACGGACGCACCTGATTTTGACGACAAGTTATACCTTTCTGCGCCTCGAGATATTGATCTATCGCGCCTCAAATCTCTCTTTCTCATAATGCTTGACGCGAGCGTGATCCAGTTTATCCTCACGCGCATCATTACACCCCCTGCCTCCGCGCTCGAGCTCGAGGTGCAAGGCTTGCGGCCCGGCCAAGACCTCAGCGACATATTCCCTCCCCATCCAACCAACCTCCGTAATCTTCAATCTGTGACCTACCTACTATTCGGCTCAACGCATCGGCGCGACAAGTGCGTGGTGCAGGGCTACGCCACGATTGCTCCCGTATTCACCGTCGTCATCCGTGGGAGCGAAGGGAACGGGCCCGTCCAGCGGATAATGTCGAGTCTCGGACCGACGCTGGCATTGATGCCCGTGACGAGATTCGCCCTGTATTCGTACACCTGTCCGCGCTGGAGCGCCACCACGCTCTTCCGTACCCTCGGATACTTTCCGCACATCAGCGTCCTGTGTCTCCAGAACTGCCACGCAAAGTTTGTGCGGAAGCTCGCCGTGTCGGGTGCGCACCAACCATGCCCCGCACTTGATTTTCTAGCGATATCCAACTGCGCAATTCCCAATGATGTGCTCATCCCCGTCATACGCTCCCGCACGTCGTATAACGCGGATATGCCGGCCCAGATGTCGCGGCTGAAGCAGGTCCATCTGTTCGGGCCCCTCCATGGAAGCGTGGAGCTGAAGGCGGCGCTCGCTGAGTATGTTGATGTGACCTGGTGCCCAGAGGAGATTGCGGCACTCGCAGCTAGTGTTGTCGGTACCACGTCTACACCAGCTCAATAGAATGATGCCCATGGTGCCTCGTTCGACTCTGCTCGCCGTATCTTAGATGATCCATTTGTCATTGCCATATGACTTCAGGCAAGTTGAATTTGGTGGATGTGCTCAAGATGTGCTGGCACTTGATAGGAGGTTTGAACAGATCTTCTCGACAGATTCAACTTTCGCAGACGTATATAATGCTAACGATTCGAATTTATTCTGTTACAAGAATTGAACAATAATACAGATGACTCATATCATAATGAATCTACGAGTTCCAAGATTGCTAGATGATGCCAGAGCGGATGAGTAAAATGGGCCAGTTCATCAGATTATCGAGGAAACAAACCTGAGCGTCGCCCTTCGTCTTCTGGGCCTCGCCAGAGGCTTGTTGGCTCTTGTCGCCGGTCAGGGAGCCCACGACAGAGTCCTTCTTGCCTGTGAGGCTGTCGGTGGCGCCCCTGAGATTGAAAATGCGTCAGTTGGTATTCCCAGCGATGAGCGATGTGCGGGAGAAGACATACTGGACGTATCCCTGGGCCTGGCCGCCAGTCTTCTGGGCTTCGCCTTTAGCGTGCTGCTGAGAGCCGTCTTGGGCCGTGCTTTGAGAGCCGGTCAGGTTTCCGAGAGTCTCCTATTGCAAGAGCATATTGTATGAGAAAGGAGGGCGTGAAAGGTGGAACCGGGGCGGCGCTGACCTTGGCGGAGCCCATCAAGGAAGACATGGTGCCGCTGGCCTTGTTCTGCTCGGAGTTGGAGGTCATGATGATTGGGTTGGTAGAGGTGGTAGTGGTGGATGTGGGAGTTGATGAGGAGGAGATGGAGGATGGGGGACGAAAGTCGCAGGGCTTTATACGCGCGTCGACGGCCGGATCTGGCTCTGAGGGCGCTCGACGGATAGCGATGGGTGCGGTCATCGCTGGTCATACAGCTGGTCATCGCATCACGGGGCTCGACAACCCCATCAGCGCGACGTCATGCCTTTTGTCGCGATGGAGCACCGGACGTAACGTTCAAGCGGCCAAGCCTTTGCTTATATAATTTCTACCCCTCCTATCCATTCGCCCAGGACCAAGCTCCGCTTGGATTTCAAGTTCTCCCTGAAGACGTGATATTATTTGTGCTCTTGTGCGTCCCAAAGAAAATAATAGGGCGATCCGTTCAACGGGAATTAGCAGTTCAAGTAAGTCAAATAGACGGCAAGGGAGTTGGTGGTATGTCATTGTAACGGGGTGATGTAAAAACGTTGGAAGAATCATAGCAATGACTATCATCTGACCCCCTTTCCCCATGCAGACCTTTTGCGCATCGGAATTATAGCGAGAGCACGGTTCGAGCTTGATGCTGCAAGGTTAAGATGAGCTGATTGGACACGTACAGCCGAGATATAAAATAATCTTACCAACTCATCGTTATTATTCACACTCTGACGAGGGACCAAGACAATCCTCTCCCCATCCTACACCTACGCATGCAGGGAGCGCTGCACTCACATCCATCGCTGTGGATAGGTTATATAAACCGTAGAGCCCAAGGTAATCCAGAGACTTCACGAGAA